ACTTCATCATAATAACAATAACAGTAAACTTGTGCAATAAATAACAAATCTGAAATTTGAAATACCAAGTACTAAAGGAAGAACAAAACTTTTTAATTAGGCACTGTTATTTGTGATTACACTTAATAAAGATGATGATTCCAATATTAAAAGCTGTTGGGTAACTAGCGACTCGCGATACCCACGCGTGTGTACGAGAAAAGAGACAAATGACTGAAAATGGCCCGTTTGTCTCCTTTTGTCCATTTTGGCCTGGTTTTGGCTTGTCTGACCTGGTTATGGCCTTTCTGGCTTGTGTTTGGCCTTTCTAATACTCTGGATAACCTGACTATTTGCGAAATAGAAGTCATTTCTGTTCAGCCATCGAACTGTCAACAGTGTTTTGAACATGGTTTACAAGAGAGTTTGCAGAAACTGTCCGATTTCATGGTGCGGGGCGAAGTACATTGTGAGATTAGCTAACCATCTCGCGGATGTTCATCATTTAGACCACATACAGCGAAGACAGTATTTACAAGAGGCGAAACTGCAACCTAAAGTCAAGGTCGTCGTTTACGAAAGTGAAGCGGATAATTCCGCAAAAAATCACTCAACTAGCACTCGCAGTCCAGTACAGACACAAGAAACGGTGTGCGAACTGTCAAGATCAAAAAGAGATAAAACCTCTTTTAAAGCAAAAGCTAAAAGAACAACTACAAAGAACAATACAAACGGAAAGAAACAAAGAAAGTCGAACTCTTGGTTTAGAGGCTATAGGAAAATTGTGTAGACACGGAGGAATTATTTATTATTCCTCGTAATAAAACGGAGAAAACGAATTTGTAATAGTCAGTCAAAGGATTAATGTTCATACCATTTCTTTTCAAATCGCTGTGTATTTGACTCTTTTTGTTATTGGTTTTTAATAAAGTTTTTTTAAAAAACTTTATTGCTCACAATTGTAAGTCGCGTGTTTCAATTGATCCTTGTTAAGTTATTTTATGTTTTTATTGTTTTTATGATAATAAGTTACTTGAAGGTTCTCTCTTGGGGCTTTTCCTGCAGAGCTGTACTAATTTGTATGCAACGGTGGGTTTGCGAACTCGCATAATTAACTGACTAACGATGTCCAAAAGTGGTGGATGGTGGACAACAACCCATCGCTTTAATCATTTCGCAATGTTGGAGTCTTAAATGATTTTACTGCCTACATCATCGCCTTATATAACTGCTCTCAGATTTGATATATTTAAGTGGGATAAATAACAGCATATGGTTGTCCCCATTCTTCTTGCGTCAGTTCCAGATCCTCTGCAAATTTCAAGAACACCAAGAGCCTGCCCAAATTAACTTTTAGAAGTACTTCAGAATGGATTTCTTTCAGCTTGAAAATTGTTGACCCTGGGAGGTCACAAAATGTTTTCTTGAGAGACGTTATTTCTTTGGAGGGGGGAACTATGGCCCTCGCGATCATACGATAATGATTAAACTTTATTCTTACGAAAGACTGAATAATACCCATTTTCGTTTTGGATGACAATAATAATAAATAATTATAATAACCTTCATTTATATGGTCTTAAAAAGATAAAAATAAATAATGATGTCATAGACTATAGAAAATAGCTGATCATGTCAAAAAACCCTTTCTAATTTAAGCTGATGATGTCATCTCACCAGTTACCATATTAAATGATTATTTTGATGATGATCTCATCGTTTTTTTTGATGACGTCAACTCCCTAGATTGTTATACAGAATACCTTTCTATTTTTAGATGATGATCTCATCATTTTAATCCCCTGAGCTATTGTGACGTCACTCCACCACCTCCACCACTGCGTAGAACCCCTCGTCTATTACTACTCACTTGAAATTTTTTGCGTGCATCCACTTCTAGCTTAGTGGAGTTAAAGTATCAGTTAAATTAGAAATTCGGCTCAGAGCCAGCTAAACAACTCCAGACGTGATCACATATTAGATTGCTAAAATGTTGATCTTTAAACCTCCTTATCTCATATCCTCTTTCTCCCGACAAATGAACTACACAACATGGTGTAAGCTAAGATTATTTCTCTACTCATGTTTTAACTGTATTGGGTCTACATAATTATTTTTATCCCCTGAAGGTTGATTTGTTGCCCTTCTGTTTTTGAGGTGTAGTATAGCTGAAGTAATGAACCTCACGCGCCGGGAGAGGAAATAGAGAACGAATTAACAAAACAATCGAAATACTGTATCCGATTCGGTATCGTCATAAGGACTAAAATATTTAATGCGTTAAATGCTTTAATGCTATAATCTAATGTCATAAAAAAAATAAAAAATACAAAAAAAAACGACTAATCTCGAATTTCTTCTTCTTTTTTTAATTGGCTGTCATTGGTTCGTAAAGTTCAGTTTCTATTCACGTGCATGTAGGCAAGCCGGGAGGCGAAAAAGATGATTGACTTTAGTTAATAAAATTTAACAACAAAATCATCAAACTTTTGATGGTTTAAAAAGCTGTTGCTTTGTGTTTTGTCTTTTCAATGTGCCTTATCGCTTTTTCCCTCTTCACCACCACATAAAAAATCTTACGCTTGGGCCTTCTCATACACCGAATGCAAATATGGCGGATCTCTCGGTCGGCCCTGGTCTAGTTGCGCGAAAGCGAGGCTAGTGAGGCCTCGGGAGTTTTGTTCTGACTGCGCGTCTTAGCGATTCAGTCAATCAGTATGGTTTCCTTCGAGTTGTTACGTGCTTAATAAGAGCCACCAAAGAGAAGATTTAACTCCAGCAGAGACGAAAGTTGATTATCGCTTTGCCAAGGTTCTTTACGAAGAAAGAAATGGATTCAAGCGGTTCGGCGCGGCGAATGGAGGCACTTTTCTATCACGGCGTTAAAAGAACGAAAGTGTGCTCGCTTCACTTCAGAAGAGAAGACTCACGAAACTATTAGAATGGGCGAATAACTGAAAGATTCATGGTTCTGTTTCAAGTTTGCTTTGTCCGTTCTCTTGCCAAAGAAAGGTAAATGTCCTCGAGAACGAGTGAATCCGTCGTCGCGACTTACCAATCTTTAGGCGCTCTCAGGGACTCAACGACAGACAACAGGGCCGAATGCTTTCACAGTCTTCACGATCCTGTGTTCAAGAGTTTGAGCAGTGCCATAAAAGAAGCAATTTTTGGAAAATCGCTGTTAGTTTATCTCGAAACCATTCGACAAGTTGCTTGAATAGATCACGCGCAATGTAAAATACAATGCTCGAATACTTGCACGCTCTTTCTCTGCCAGAACGTTTTCCTTTCTTCTTACTTTCTTAGTTGGCAACGGTTCCTCTGTTAGTTTTTTCAGTGCACTTTGGTCAAGGACTGTTCTTGAAATATGTCGCTTTCTTCTGGTTCTTACATAGTTTCACAGGCCACGCTTGTACAATTAACAAACGATTGTTATTGTTGTTGTTATATTTTAATGCAGCTGTTTTCAGCGTGAAATCTAAAAGATCTTACAGTCCTCAGCGGATGCTCCCGTTCTCGATAATGTTTACCTTTTGTTGGATAAATAGCAGACCACGCAAACATTTCGAAACAGCACCATCTCTTGTGAAAATTATTTCATTCAAATACTTTCGTGAGTCCTCTCATCTAAAACAAGTGTTCGAGCACACTTTCGCTGTAAAGTGCTTCCCATCGCCGCGCCGAATCGCATGAATCCTTAACTTTCTTTGTGAAAAGATCTCGGGAAAGTAAAGGCTATTCCAGCTAGAGTAAAATCTTCTTTTTGGTGGCCCTCAGGCATACAACAACTCGAAGCAAACCATATCGATCGACTCAATCGCTAAGGCGCGCAGTCAAAACAAAACTCTTGAGGCCTCACTAGCCTCGCTTTCGCGCAACTAGACCCGGGCCGGCCGAGAGTTCCGCCATATTTGCATTCGGTGTATGCCATCCAGAATACCTTTTGAAAATCTCTTGGATGAAACCAGTTTGAAAAAAAGAAAAAAAAATCTCTAGCACTCACTAGGGTGACCTTCTTGACAACGAATTGGGCGCGCAAGAAGAGTATGTTTCTAAAATTTTATCACAGTCTTAGCTCGATGATCAGCCCCTTTACAGCAAATTAGCCCGCCCTACTCCCCTGAAGGACAAGGGGACGCATGGATTTCAGTGAAGTCGATTTTCACCAATCAGATCGTTGCCTACTCAAATCCAGCGATAGCATAACTTGTTTTTCTTCTCAGCATTCAGAGAAGCGGAAATTTGAACCTCGCTCATTTGGCTTTCGGTGGAGGTAACAAAGATAACATGTGTATATCTATATTTTATTACTAAAAGCCTAATGTACATTTGAAGCAAACACACTGACACAATTATAAAGAACAATAACACAGACTCTCTATTACAAGAAAGGGAAGAATAAAAAAAAAGTCCCATTTCTTTCACCTGATACAACTGTAAAAAGAAGAATACTCAAGTTGTCCTTTAACATACTATATTTTACTTGTTATCTTTTTGCTATAAAACTTAATAGCAGGCAATTTCTTTTGTTTTTGCGTGACCCGGAAATGGTCTATCATGATGACAACTATGGAGAAGTTCAGGTTTCCTACTCTTCTTTTGATCTAATCTCATTTCTTCAGTCCCAATATTTCTTGTGGTATGGTGATTAAAGCTACACCTATATCGAACACGCATCCATTACTTCGGGTTATTGTAGATGTTCAGAGTTTCTAAGTCCACAAGTCTTGTTTAATCTGCGTGTGCGTAGAACTTACACTGCGTCTTAAACTATTTGAATGCGCTTTAAACTAGTTTGAGTGCCAAAATATTATTTAAATTTTCATGAAAAGTGTGATATAGAATATTTTCCAAAGGGAGGCACGGTCTTAGCTTACCTCTTATTCTTTTCACATATATATTAAACAAAAAAATTCTAAGACCGTTAATTTGACCCCAAATTTACAAGTCCAAGAAAATGGTGGATCTTAAGAAACAGGATAGCCTGAACTTGTTACAAAAATTGATATAGTTTTTTTTTATCAATAACATTTATTTGAAATATGACGATGCGAATTACACGTGCAGAGATCTTGCAATCCTTTGACACTGGCGTTCGGCAACTGTAGAACTTAAAAAAACATCAGAGAAAATAACTGAAATAAAAAAACCTGGCCAAAGACTGGGGCAGATTATGACTGGGGCCTAGATACTTCTTCAATCATTATCCGGGGCACTGACTCCCATCCGGTGTAAGCATCACCCAAGTATCCGCCACCGCAAAGCCCTACCCATAATTCCACTTTAACCGTCCCTTGTGGAATGTTGTCACAGCACCCCTCAAATGACCGATGACGATGCAGATCACTAATAGGGCTCCCTGATGACCAGTAGTTGAAAACAGCAGCCTCAATCGTCATTGGTCCACTACATTCGTTTCCATTGAACTTGAAATACCAGCGATTACACTTATTATGACCTATGACCCTCATATTTCCTTGGAATGAGACTTTGAGCGCTGAACCAGATTTTAATTTGTTAAAAACACAATCCTGGAAAACAATCATAATCTATTTAGAAACGCCTCTATTCTTATAATGCTAAATGGGAAAGGAAATAAATATCAACTGAAAGAGGTTGAACGGAATGACGATTGCGGGAGGGGAAAGGGCTTGGAGATTTACATCTCAGAGCTATTTAATTGACTCCAAGTTAATTTCAGCAAAATCTTAAATTTTCTATTTTTTTTTCGATCGAATGAGATCGTCTACTTTTCTTGTGATCTATACCAATTATTTAGCATTTTTCCTGTTTACCTTAATCTTTCCGTTATCAGTACCGCTCTTTGATTTCCACACACATTGTTTCCAGTTGGTCTGTGGTACTACACTTGCTTGACTTGCTTTGGCGTTTTCTCCTTTTCTCTCCTCTGTCTCCTTTTCTTCCTGGACTTCCCACAATGCCTGACTCTCCTTTCATTCCCACGAGTCCCGTTTCACCTTTTATGCCTTTTATTCCTGGTGGTCCGCTCTTTCCGGGAGGCCCTTCGCGCCCTCTTTCTCCTCTTAGACCCGGCATTCCTTGTGATCCCTTATCCCCGAACTGTCCCTTTGCACCTTCCCTTCCTCGGGGTCCTTGCGGCCCCGGGACACCCTGAATTCCCGGCATACCATTTAACCCTGGAATGCCCGGAAAACCATGACCCAGCATAGATTTCTGAAAACAAGAAGACGCTCGAAGGCGTTTACGCGGGATGTGTTGGTGTAAGAAAGAATTACAGTTATGATGAATGGCAATGGAAGGTTGAGTAGTGTATGCAACAAATGCGTGCAGGAGAGACGGAGATGTTATACACTAGAAGATGAGTTACTCATAAGGGTTCCTTTGCTACTCAAAACAAAACTTACATCAATATTACCACCATATATGTTAGGAGTATGGGATAGTTCACTAAAATTTGCAGTCCTTTACTAATGTCCTCAAAAAATGCACTTCCACATTCAACAATAACATGTAATGTATCATACTTCCAATAACTACAGGGCTGCAAGGCTGTGCTCTTGGGAAGATTTCAGGGAGCCTTCGGGCTCCCCAAGCATTTTTAGCTGGGGTGCGCGGGCCTCCAAGTTGGTCGCCCAAATTAATAAATCAATGAGCTGTTAGTTAATTATTAAAAATTAAACAAATTATTTTCTTAACAAGTCAAGTAGTCTGCTACACAGCCGTTTTTAGAGTGGTCACGTCAAGCAGAATTTTGTGAATATTTTTTCATGAAAAATCACATCCCTTTGACCTCCTGAGCGTGCGAAAAAAAAAAACCCGCATGTTGTCATATGAAAGTAAGTTTTCGTTCCATGAGAAACATGGGCAACGCCGCCGAATATTTCATGTTGTTTAGATGGAAAATTAAGACTCTGGTCTGTTTACGTATTTTTTAAAAAAAAAGAAAATTGGGGTCAAAAATAAGGGCACTATTCTTTTTACTAATCATTTTGATTTAGGTTGAAAAGAAAATTTGCTTATTAAGATTGACTGAGATCCCGTGGAGCTTCCAGGAAAACTGTTATGATTTCAACGAAACCGCGGTGCCCCCCGGGGGGTTACGTGGGGTATTTGCCGCTGACCTGTCAGAGCCCCTAGAGCCCATATTAGTCACTCTTGGGCAAATATGAAATTTTTGCGATCCCAACTTAGTCACTTTCTATTTATTTATCTACCTGATCAATCCTTTAAATAGGTCATCAAAAAATGAATTGAC